AGTCCTACATATTAGTTAAGTGACCTTACTTTCTATGAAATTGTCTATTCTGCAAAATGGGGAAGGAACCAGCATCTCGACTTCATGAGTTAATGTAGGGAAAGAGTTTGAAACCACTCTTGGCACAGGAAACAAAATTTTTGATATTACTTTCTCTGAGTCTTCACAGGGCTTTGTTTATCATCTGAGTATAACATGCTGTACATTAATGCCATTTATTACAACTCTCTTTTGCTATTTGGTTGGTTATGACCCACCCCATCTTGAGTTCATATAGCACATCTCCTCCAATGATCTTTTCTCTGATGGTGGCACCCATCTCCAGCTGGTCATGCTAAAGAGAAACCCAGGAGTCCTTTGACTACTCCTACACCCTCTTCCATGCAATCACCAAGTGAGCCTAGTATGTTCTAGATACTTCTGGAACCCACCCCTTTGCCTCCATCTTGTTTCCATACTCCATCCAGCCCTCACTTGGAGTCATGAAGCAGCTTAACTGGATTTCTTGCCTCTAGTCTTGTTGTATCCCAATTTATCCTCCACACTGAGGCTGGAATAATCTTTCCAGAAGACAAGTTTGATTCCTGTGTCCTGTCTCTGGTTAAAACCCATTTCTGACTCTCCTCTGCCAGGCTGAGCTCTTTGGTCTGGCCCTGCAGGACTTGTCTCCTGCCTGTTTCTTTAAACTTATCACCACCACCCGGCCTCACTCTGAATGGCCACAGCAGGACACCTGGCTGTTTCTTCAAAACATGTGCTACTGCTCTTCTCCCTTCTGCCTCTGCATGTTCTCTCCCTTGGACTTAAGCATCATCCAGGTTCTTTGTCTGACTTAACTTCTTTTTGAAACTTCTTAACTTCTTTTTGAAAATTAGTATTACCTCCTCTAAGCACTTCCCAAGACCAGCCTGGAGGCTAACTCTCAGTGCTCCCAGGATACAGGATTCTCCCCAATTCTACCATTCATTGTGTTTCCCCCATGGAAGGGCAATGCCTCCCAGGATTTCTCATCCTTGAGAGCACAGATATACTTTGCACATAGTAGGTGCTCAAAACACACGACCTCCTGATCCCATGAAATAGATAAGTGGGAGATACTTGCTGACACAATGTCATGATGAGCGCTAAACAGTACATATTAAAGTACTCTCCTGAACACTTTCCACAAATTAATTCATAGAATCACCCCAACAACCTCCTACTGAATAGCTGCTATACCTATCCCCACTCTATAGGTAAGAAAACCAAAGAACAGAGAGGCTCTAAAATGTTACCCATGTTCTACGGTGGGTAACTGGGGACACCAAGGCTAGAACTCAGACGACTGGCATGATTTCCTGGACATGCCTTATCACCTGTCCAGAGAGAGGTATTGTAGTAAGGAGAGATATCTAAACAGACACAAATACTCTACTTCTGATTTCACAGATGAGAAAGTGGAGGCATAGGAAGGAATTTATATCCAAGCGGAACAGGGAAGAGAAGGAAGACCAAACTAAGAAGGAAGACCATAATCCCTGCTACCCTCTGCAGGGCCTGGAACTTGGGGAGCTACTTATCCTCCCTTTTCAATTGCAAAACCAAGGCCTCAGGGCCAGAGCCTGCCAGCACTTCTTACAGATCAAATATGCAATTCCATTCTGCTCAGCAAACATTCATCCAAGGTTTATCAGTGCCAGGTCTGTGATGCACCTCTGCCCTTGAGGAATTTATCTTCCTGTGGGGAGACAGGCACACATAGACAGTATTGATAGATGAGTTCAAAATGGCCACACAGCGGTGACATGGATTATTTTAAAGCCAGTGGCGGTGACGCACACCTATAGTACCAGCTCCTTGGGAGGCTGAGGTGGTAGGGTCGTTTGATCCCAACAGTTCAAGGCTAGCCTGGGCAACACAGTGAGACCCTAGTTCAAAAACTAAACTAAAATAAATCAAAGGCGCCAGCCCAAGATAAAACACTAGCCAGAAATGAGTCCCCAGCCCTTCCGTGTTCTCCAGCTGAAAATCGCCCAGATCAATGAAGCATTATCAGGGCTCACCCAGGCAGAGTCACCTCCATTTACAAGTGAAGAAGTGACACGTGGATTGAGGAGTTTGCCATGGGCACAGGGTTACCTAGAGGCATAAGCCACTGCCCTCTGTGCTCCAGAGCTTCTCTAGAAGAGATACAAGCAGTGACCTGGACACCACTACGTCTTGAAGAAGAAGTAAGCAAGCAAGGCATTTTTCCCCACTCCCAATTTACCAAAAAAAAAAAAAAATTAAAAAATGAGGACAACCAGGGGAACTTCTCAAGGACGAATGTCATCACGTCATTATGAGTGGAGAGAGTCAAAATGTACATGGTCAAAAAATAACATAAAATATACTCAGAGCCTGCTGAACAAGAGCACAGACTCCAGGGTCAGGCCGAATGGGTCCATTCGGCATCTCAGTGGTCATGTGACCTTGCACCTGTTCCTTGACACCACCGAGCCTCAGTTTCCCCCTCTGTACAATGGGAACAAAAATACCTGCCAGAGAACTCGGAAGAAAATTTAAGTTTTGCTTAGAGCCTGGTCTAGAGCGAGGGTTAAAAAGATAAACTATCAAAAACATTTTATTAAAGTCTTAATGATTCAGAGATTGATTATTCCATTAGAAGATCATCATGCTTTTTCCCTGCCTCCCGCCCGCTTCCTGCCTGCCCACGTCACAGCTGCTTGCAAGCTATTATTCCATGAGATAAAAAATGAGATGAAATTCGACTCAGATGGCCCAGTTAGAAAAGCGGAAGAGCCCAAGCCCTGGAGTCAAGCAGGCCTGAACAGAACCCCGGATGGCTTTGAGCAGGTTACGTGGCTTCACGAGCCTTCATTTCTCCATCAGTAAAATGTAGGCAATAGCGTCTGCCTTCCAGACGGCCTAGGAGGCCTGGGCTCTGGTGTGGCCAAACTCAAACCCCGTAGTGCTGTGGCTGGTGAGTGCTAGGCAGGTAGGAAGTACCAGATCAGTTCTGGCAGGAAGTGCAGTATTCGGCTACACGAAAGCCTAGCATCTGTCACAATTGAGTTTTAAATGCCTTTTACTTCCCCCATCTTCATTACTACCATGGATGGATAAAAGAAGTCACTCTCACCACACAGGCCTTTGTGTCAACTCAAGTGGGTGACTCTGTGCACATGGGGACCCAGCATAGCAGTACAGATGACCGAAGAAAGGGAAGAGTGGGCAGAACTCATGAGGGGAAGGGAGGGGAGGCAGAAGCAGCTGACACTGTAGCAACACCTGGAGACGTCCTTTCCACCCACCGCCTTGCTGTGCCAAGTGTCAGGGAGACCACAGCAGGGCCTAGGGTGCTGTCCGCTAGCTATAATGGGGAGCCTTGGTTGTCAGCATGGAAATGACAGGGGTCAGCCGGCTGCAAAGGATCATGTCCTTAGAGGCCAGTAGCACAGAGAATATTTTCATTATGAGCCTTTTGGGAAATGAATGAGCTAAAGGTCCCTGAGATGCTAACAGTGACAGGACACATGCAATTTTACATAAACATTTGGACTTGGTGTTTCTAGTTTAAATATTTTATCCACAGAGATGTCTGAGTCATCTCCTCACATCCTTCCTCCCTTCACTCTTCTTTGAAATGAAGATTATATAGAAGATGCCAACTTTCTAAAGAAAAACATAAACAAAAGACAAAAATCTAAAAGTCACATTAGCATACCATAAGATATCTTAATATTTGTTTGGACCCCTAGAGACTATTCACGTGTCATTCTCAAATTAGCATGCTGGGATTTTATTTTGTATCCCTCCCTACTTTCTAAATAATTCCCCCACCCAAAGCAGAAAGACTCCAATTTCATGCCAGGGTAGAGGAGATTTTTCTGAAGCTCTTTACTTAACATCACATTGCAGAGAACAAAACACACCTGTCAATACCAGTAGTACATTTCACTCAAATTCTATCGCTGGAGAGAGAAGAAATCTTATGAAAAGTTCCTCTCTTTTAAAAAAAAGGGGAGAATTATTTTTTTAAAGCGATGATGAAAATCTACTCCTTCTGAACCACCATCTTTATATGAAACTTTCTGCTAGAGACAAAATAGAAATCATTGTTTCACTTTAGCCAAGACCACCCATCAGAAGAGCTCATTTTCTAGAAGGCAGCAGCATTAGAAGAAGAAGAAGAAGAAGGAGAAGGAGAAGGAGAAGAAGAAGCAGCGAGCCCTGGCACTGCTTTTCAATATTGTTGTCTAATTAAATGGCAATGGAGTGGAGGCATAAAAATATGCATTAGAGGTGTGTAATGTGTAATGTGAAGAAGAGTAATCAAAGCCATTCAACAGGATTTAGGAAGGGATTTCAGTTGGCAGCTTACGAGACAGCAGCATATAATTTTGCTAATTTGAAATAGGTATTGTAACGTATAAACATTACTACTTTGCATATTTTAATGAAAACTGCCTCTACGACAAAATGAATTCTTTAGCTTGAACTCTCTGCATACCACCGAGTTCCTACCTATTATGAGTTCAGCATAAATAAGGGAGGAACGCGGGCTGCATTAAAAGAATGGTCACCTCATTAAAATAGGTTAAAACCCAGCCCCTTATTCCAAGCTGCTCTAACACTGTAAAGTAAGTCTGATGACAGGTGTTGTATTAAATTTTTATATTGCAATGAACTTGTACTCGTACAAACCAAATCTGCACGTTTCCTTTTGATATACACCTGCAACTTGCTAATTCAAGGGCCTTTATTAAGGAAGTATAAATTTAGCAACATCTATAGATTTGTAAAACCCTATTAGCTTGCTTGAAAATCCACAGTAAATTCATTTGGAGTCTTATTTGCATGGTTTTTTCAAAGACACGGGAACTAATGATGACTTGTCCCAAATGGATATGTCTGCAGATAATACCGTTCTGCAAATAGACTTGTGTGTATTCCTGAGACTTGAGGCTAAAAGAATTGAGAGAGATTTGGGTCCCGTCTGGATGGAGGACATGGCTTACCTGCCAGCCTGCTTCTCGCTGAAGTCCTTTTCTCCAGTCTTCTTCCAGCCTGGGAGAGCTCTCATCCATCGCTGGTGCTGCCTGCACAAACCGGGTTCGCCAGCGGCTGTGACTCTCTTTCCTTGCAAGCCTTTACCAAAGCAGCAGCGAGGGCAGTTCAGGCGCAGACTGTCATGGAAAAAATGCCATGCCAGAGGATGAGGGATCGGGCAGGAGGAAGCCACTCCAGGAAAAAAGTTAGGGTACGTGGGACTACCCAGACAGCTGCCAACTGGCCAGGCTGAAGGACAGCTCAGCCATCCAGCATCCAGATTAGGAGCAACCACGCTTCAGGGCCAGTGGACCAGGGGTCATTCTTATGCTTCTGGTGTAAAGGTCAGAGGAGCGAATGTGAAGGCATGCTCTGTGCTGTGGAAGTGTGCATTTCTATGTGCACTTCCAGCTCCTTGCCCCGAAACACACACACACACACACACACACACACACACACACAGTGCAGAATCTGCATTGTTCTGCAGGGTTGCATCAGTAGGCTGGGGTATCCTAGAAGAAATAATCTACTTTACATAGTAGCAAACACATTTCATTTGAACATATCTCCCCCACCAAAAGCACCGTATGAATCACTCAGCTGCCGGTAAACATGAATAATAGCGAACTACTTTGGGTGAAAATAGATTCATCCCTGTAGTTGAACACTGGTATCAATGTTCCCTGCTTTCCCCCATGTTAGTTGTTCCACGAGGCAGGCATTTCAACCTGACGGTGAACTTCAGTGCCTTTCCCAAACCAGTTTGAATGGACTCCTCCAAATCTGGAACTCAACCAAGCCAACTCCAACCAAATTATCCTGCTTTGTTACTGCTCCTCACACAGAATGTGACTGCCTTCTGCTATTCAGAACCAGGCCCAGCCCCAGAGATATAGATCTAATTGGTCTATGATAGGGCACAAGATACTGATATATATTTTTTTAAGCTCTCTGTATAGTTCCACTGAGCACCCAGGACTAGAATCACAAAATCCATCATGAATTCCTATTGAGTCATTGCCAATATCCACCCAAACAAAAAAGCTTATAATCACCCATAAGAGAGTTCCATGGGTGGTTACTTTGCCCACAATGAACCAATACCCGTCTCCCTACAATTTCTACACATGGATGTACTGCTTCTTAATCCCATAAGGAATAAGTCAGAAGCCAATTCTGTAGGACAATCCTTCAAAGATCCAGAGACCAGGGTGACCCATGCCCTCAAGCTTCTACTCAAGATTCCATTTTCCAGATTAAATATTGTTAGTTCTTTCAGCAAACTATGTAAGATGGTTTCAGGTCATTTCTCCGTCCTGATTGCCAGCCTCAAAATGTATTCTACTATCTCAAGTATTCCTCACGGTGATTGTAATATCCCTTCAGTGACCTACCATTACAAATAGAGCCAAATAATCACATGCCTTGTCTGAAAAAAAAAATCACATTATCGACCATCAGCATAATAAGAAGAGCAACCAACATTTATGGATCATGGAGCTAGGTGAACAGCACTGTGTTAATTGCTTCATTAGGGCTCATCTTGATTCTCTGAAGTCATCATCATGCTCCTGATTCACAGAGGAAGATGCCAAGGGAGATGAAGACATTGGTCTAGGTGAGAAGACCAGGAGGCACAGGGATGTGACTTGGAGGCCAGCTCCAACCTACCCGATGCCCCTTCGCTGATGCCATCAGATTCCATCGGCTGTTTTGACAATGACATCCCGCTGATCTGAAACACAATTACTACTTGGGTCGGTTCTTATCTTCAGATGATATGAGAACCTGTTTCATAGGCTGTCGTTGCTAGAAGAAGTGTGATAGTTTGGATGAGAACTATTCCCTGAGAGAAAAGGATACTCCTGTGTTAATGCAGGATGTTCAGCAGTGAAAGAATTAGGTGATAAGAGTTGAAACCTCCTAAGTCCACCCCCATTTGAATGGACTGATAGGGTGTCAGCCACAGGAGGAGGTCATGGCTGGAGGAGGTGGTCACGGGGGATGCACTCTGGCAGGGTTGTTCTTCCTGTGGCTCCCCCCCCCCCACCCCGCCTTCCTGCTGCCATGAACTTAGCAGCTTAACGGCTCTTCCTCCACGATGTGCTATCTCCCCTGGGACCCAGCCAATGGAGTCAGCCATCTAAGGACTGAGACTTCTGAAACCATAAGCCCCAAATAAACATTTCCTTCTCTAAGTTGTTCGTGGATATTTTGGCCACAGAGATGAAAAGTTGACTAAAACCAGCTAACCCGCTGTTACCATCCTGGTGATGATCACAAGATCATACCTTCCACCAGCCTCAAGCAAAGAAGATGAACACAAAACCCTGCCTTTCCCTGATCAGTTCTTATTTTCTTGGGAATGTGCAGATGCTTCTCAGAGGTTCTGAGGAGGTGTAAGAAAGCTATAGGAGCAACCGTCCAGAAAATTACCCCAGAGACCAGACTCAGTGGAAGCCTCGCCAATCATCTGGTTCTTCCCTATCTCCTTTAAATTCTTCTCAACAGCACCCCATAAGGAAAGTGGGGAACAATTAGTTTTTCCCATTTGAATCTCACCAGCTGCACTGACATTCTTGTGGAAGGCAGCACACGAACGGTTGGGGACACAGCCTCAGGGATTAGACAGACCGAGCTTTGAGTAGCATGCTGCTCCACGCTTTTCTAACTCTGTGTCCCTGGGAAGGTTCCTGAGCTTTTCTGAACCCTGGTTTATAGTTTCCATGTCCATAAATTGAATGTATTATCATTTCAGGCACAATATGTTCACTGATATCTGGTTCCCTCTACTTTGAGGTACAAAGCAAGACTTCATTCTCTCCTACCCCTCTTAAAATTTGGCCTAATCACCTGACTTCTTTCAGTCCAGGAAACTATGGATATCATCTCCCCAAGCTAGGTCTTCATCACTAGCACTGTCGATCACCTGTTTTGCCCTGCCACAGGGATTGCAGAAGCACATGCTGGTAACACAAACCTTCTTACCAGAACAGACTAGAATGCGGAGAAGAGTTGCCTTGAGAGTTAACAACAGAGAATATGTGAACAAGAAATAAACCTTCAGGGCTGCTTGTTGTCACAGCACAACCTTGCCTATACTGACCCATACACTGTCCTTACTCTACAGTTTGTTGTAAGAATAAAATAAAATATAATGCAGAGGAGCACAATCACAAGCATTGGGTGAGACTGCAATATTACATTAAACCTATTCCATTACAGGCTCACTCTGTTCTACTCATTCCTTTCACCCCCTACTATTTCCTTCTTTTACAGGATTTTTTTTTCTGCTAATGAAATGGGAATGTTAAGTGTGGGAATTCCTAACGATGATGCAGAAATATTAATTTTTAAAAGAAAAAGTAAGTGTTCAGTAATGTAGTATCCCTCTGTCTCAGAATGCAAATTCAGAAGAGCATGACTTTAATGCTACTTATCACTTAGCAAGGAAATTAATGAAAGTAAAATGAAGCATCAAATAATAAATGTAACTCAGTATGAATTCACTGCTGATAAAAAAAAGTGTGGGGCTCCAAATGCAAACATAATGAGGACATGAATACAAGAGTTTATTAAATAGCATAGGTTTTATTCACTATTCTAGCATCAAGAAATCAAAAGGAATTAGTTTTGTTTCTGTATCTGTTAAATGTTTGCATTAAATGAAGGTTCAACTATGGAAACCAAATCTAAGAAAAGCATGGCTAACAACTCTGTCCAGATTACAACACTGACATTTAGAGAATGTCAAGTCTTCCGTATCAAGCTCCTCTGCCTCTTAACACGACACACCTGAGCCTGCTCTGGGACACTTCTTTGAGATTCTTTTCTTTTTTCAATGTTTTCAAATGCAAGTGCTAATAAATATGCCTGTTCTATGGGTTGAATTGTTTCTCCTAAGACTATAAGTGAGAGTCCTAAACCCAGTACCTCAGAGTGTGACCTTATTTAGAGACAGGGTCTTTACAAAGGTGATCAAACTAAAATGAGGTCATATGGGGTGGGCTTTAATGTGATGGGATTGGTGTCCTTACAAAAGGTGGAAACTTGGACAGACAGGTGCACAGGAGAAGAACACCATGTAAGATCAAGGTGGAGATGGGGTGATGCATCTCCGAGCCAACAAGCACCAACGACGGCCAGCAGCTACCAAAATCTGGAGAGAAGCGTGGAGCAGACCCCTCCAAGTCCTCAGAGGAACCAACCCGGTGGGTACCTTGCTCTCTGACCCCCGGCCTCAAGGACTGCAGGACAAGACATTTTTGTTGTGTAAGGCGTCTCATCTGTAATGCTTTGCCTGTGGCACCCTTAGCAAATCAGAGCATCCTGTATTCAGAATAAAACCAATTTAAAAATAAAATGTATGCTAGAATGTAAGCTTTAAGTAGAGGAAACTGAGCACTTACCATTCATCTCCCCTTCCTTGCCTCAGAATAAACAATATGCATTCACCACACCACGAGTGTGGGCCTGCAGACCGTTGCCTGGACCATGTGGAAATTAATATCAAATTGATGCCAAAAAGGTAACGGAAAACTCTCACTATTTTTCCCTCAAGATAAGCAGCATATTAGGAATATGCTGACTAATGAGAACAGAAAGAGTTTCAGAATCTGTAACACTTTCCTTATGAAAAAGTTACATGTAAAAGAAAAAAAAATCTATACAAAATGCATCCATCAGTCTTGCCTTGATTTTAAGGGAAATTCCCTTAACTTGTAGAATAAACATGAGTTAATATTTCACTTTAAGAATCGAGACCCTGCTGCCCACTAGATTACATATTCCCATTTAATCCATTTCAGTGAAGTTTTCCAAGATATGAAAACATGAGCAGCACGTCCCCCCCGCTCAAACTTTGTTTTGGGTTTTCGTCTTACTAAACACCAGGAGAGTGAATGTCATAAGACCTTCAGAATTTTGCTTCACAAATATATGCTAACGATATAACCAATCTCCACGCCAGAGCTGTCTGTTTATTCCAAAACAAAAAATGGCAAGTATAAAAACCAGCTCTGTCATGAAGTATGGTAAATCTGAGCCGGCCCAGGGGTGCACGCCTGTCATCCCAGCAGCTCTGGCGGCTGAGGCAGGAGGATTGTGAGTTCAAAAACAGCCTCAGCAAAAGCAAAGT